CAAAGGAGCATGTATAGATTGCACCACATTTAAGTAAATCTATTTCTGATGTCAGAAAAGTCATTTCTACCTAGAGTTTCCCACTCACCCTCTCAAGATAGCTTCATTTCTCCCAAATATCTATATTATTGGTTTCCAGTCGGAAACATTTATCAAAGCATTCTAACTGTCACCTTTGTTATTCTTTCTTCTTTGCTATTCTGCAACTGGAAAATATTTTCAAATGCATTTCTTTTATTGAAGCTTTTTCTCTCTTCACTTTTTTTCCCTTCAAAAAAGGCTGCTAGAAAAGATCACTGGAAAGTGATACATTTTCTCCTCCATCCATTTATTTAAATAATCCATTCTTCCATCTGTCTTGTCTCACTTTATTGCTACATTTCTTCCTCCACATGAAGAATCCTAGCTCCTTTCAGAAAGAAAATGAATGTTCTAAATCAGAGGTAGTCAACCTGGGCTCTTTTATGACTCATGGACTTCAACTCCCAGAATTCCTGAGCCAGCTAAGCTGGCTCAGGAATTCTGGGAATTGAAGTCCACGAGTCATAAAAGAACCAAGGTTGATTACCCCTGTTCTAAATGATGTTGCATCTCAACCATGAGTCTTACATTTCTCCAGATCATATTTTCTTCACTAAGGATTCTTACTGGGAAGGGTATTTAGGAGAGAGACAAAACCTGTAAGATGGTGAACAGAATAACACCACACGCATATACAAAAGGGGCAGACTTCCTTAATGCCCCTTCCATCTTGCAGATTTTGAATCCCACTGCCAGCAGCTCATCCATTCCTAATAATTAGTTCCTCTTTCTCAGTGCAAAATAAAATATCAGTAAAATCAGTAAAATATCAGTGCAACATGAGAATGTCAAGCAAACTGAGCTAACATGATAGTTCAAAATATTTAATGAAGCATTGAATAGATTAATTGAACCTATGCAGGTTCTGCTCATACCTTTTTTAAAATTCAAACAGCCAGTACATAGATATCCCTGAGGAAATGATAAAAATCATTCTGATGTTGTTTTGCTTTATTTTTAAAAATCCAAAAAATAATACTTAATTTAAAAAAAAGATTTTTTTTAACGATGATGCTATATTTATTGAAATAGAGCATTCAGTGTACCATCATTTTATTGACATTCAGTGGATTTTTTTGTTCATCAAAAAAGAGCAAAAATGCTCTCATTTTGATAGATGAACTGCTAAGAAGAAATAAATATATTATGGATGATGTATAGCACTCAAAGATCCAGGAATTGCCCATAAGAGTGGAAATTTTTGTCTGACAGCTATTCTTTTTGGGGAAAAAATGTAATATAATTCTTGCTATATAGGATTTTTTTGCAAAATGTCAAAAAAATGAACATTCCCTTGATTTTTATAAGAATTAGTGGATTCACGTATTATCAACTAAGATATTGTACTATATGTAAGTAATTTAAAAAAACTTTATTTAATGGCAAAATACTCTTTGGTTAGATTTCTTAACATTTATGGTGAGGTTTTTCAGCCATTTTTAAAAGCCATAAAGAGTATCAAGCTAAAAATTAAAGATTCCCTGGAGCCAAGCTTGATTCCTAATGACGACTACATTTGGGTAGTTTTCATAGCAACATTATAAAAATGATTTGTCAAATGGAAGGATATCTTAACAGTTAGGTTTATGATATGAGGTTTACTTAGGGATTTTTTTAAAAAATGAAAAATTGGGGAAGTATTTTTTTATTTTTTTTTTCATAGCATTTTGAGCTAATTCTCTTTGGGAAAAATAAATGAATTTGAATTAAAAAATAATAACTCCAAATGATACAGTGCTAAATCTAGATGAAACTTAAAACTATCTGAGGAACTATTGGTGCTACCAATCAAATGCATGGCATAGATATTGCTTCTTTTTCCTCAATATCTTAAGGGAGTTTTCTTGGTAAGGAAAAAATGGAAACATGGATTACCAAATAAGAGGATGTTCCAGCTGGAAGATAATATATCAGTGCCCTATAAAATTCTGTGAGTGGTTCTGGAAATCTATCCAAGGTTAATGGTATTGTAAAAATAGCCCATAAATTGGTTCTTTAATCTTGTTTAATCGAGGTATTTATACAGGAGAGACAACATCCAGTAATTTCAATATAGCTGAAACTTGAGCAAGAATTAATCACTGCCTGAAGCTATAACCATTGTGATTTCTGACTTATCTTTAAGATGGAATGTACAGCCATTCAAGGCCCAGGTAAAGGTAAAGGTATTTTCCAAAGCACCAGAGGGCAAGACAAGAAACAATGAATGGAAACTAATCAAGGAGAGAAGCAACCTGGAATTAAGGAGAAATTTCCTAACAGTGAGGACAATTAACCAGTGGAACAGCTTGCCTTCAGAAGTTGTGGGCGTTCCATCACTGGAGGTTTTTAAGAAGAGATTAGACAGTCACTTCTCTGAAATGGTATATGGTCTTCTACTTGAACAGGGGTTTGGACTAGAAGATCTTCAAGGTCCCTTCCAGCTTTATTCTGATTGAATTCTCTATTCTGATTGAATTAAAGAGGGTGTTCAGATAGCTGCAGGATTCCAAGTTCTCTAGCACAATTGATATAGCAGACAATAATGCCTGAACACACTAATCATTAGCAAATCCAGATGGATTCCCTTAGCTCTATGCCTTTCTATTCTTTTCCACTGTACAGACATTTGGAAATAAATTATGTAAAGATGATCCAGAATCTGATAGTACAATAGCTTTTCCCAACCAGGAATAAGTGGGTTTTTTTGGGGGGGGGGAGAGATGGTAAAACAAAGAAAGAGTTTGAAGTTATATCTGATCAGGCTTGTGTCTTCAGAGAAAAAAATCCTGAAAAATGTCCTCATGCATCCATAGGGGAGAGGCAGTTGTAATGGTCCAGAATCTTAGCAACTGCTCCAATCTAAAGCCCCATCCCTCGACCCTTCTTTCACATGTCCTAAATGGAGCATAGGCAATCTGCCCTGTACTTCCCAGTACACACTTACACACAAATATATGGGCTGAGGTGGTAAATTCTCTACAAATGGTTGGATACAGGATTTGATTGTGCCATGTGTCCGACTATTCGCACTTCCTGTAGTTGTGGAAGTTTTATACACGTTTTGTATCTTGAATGCTAAGCTGAGGTTTCTGTTGTTTATTGTCTGCCATGTAACTTCCATTGTATGATATGTGTATACATATCTACCTTCGATCTACCTTGTCTACATTCTACCTTCAATGTCGTCTCTTGTCTACCATCCTTGAAAGGAGAAGGGGAAGGAAGGTTTATATTTCTGCTTTATATCACCCTTGGTTTGATCTCATGATTATTTATTTGCCCCAACAGGGCTGCCCTTGTGCATGTGTATGTCTAAGTATCTATAAAATTCCCCTTTGCCAATTAGAAAATTTCTGTCCTGTTCCTGAACCTGCACAGCCACTTCAAGCAATCCAGACTCCATACTGTTCTGCTTCTGAGAGAAGGCTGACACGTCATGAGGCCAGCATAATTTTGCTTTCTAGAATGAGTATGCTGGCTTGGTCCCTTGTGCAATCTTTCAGGGAAAAGAGCCACATCTGGGAAAGGAGAAACTGAGATTAGACCAGAGTGCCTTGGCTAGGGGTCTTCAAACTTGGCCCTTTTATGACTTGTGGACTTCAACTCCCAGAATTCCTCAGCCAGGCCTGCTGGCTGAGGAATTCTGGGAATTGCACAAGTCATAAAAGGGCCAAGTTTCAAGACCCCTGACCTTGGCTCTGGTTGAGTTGCCTTACTGGTAGCACTCAGGAGAAACTATTGCTGTGAGCATAGGGGACACTGAGGGAGAGCACCAGTGTCTACATTCTGCATTCTGACAAGGGGGAAGGAAGTACAGCTCCCTCGTTTTGCTTGCAGTTCTCCAGAAGTCATGACTTACACCTTGAGAATTCCTAGTCGAGGAGAGGTTTGTCTAGTAAGCCTTATAAAGATAAGCCATGCTGTAACCACCCTGCCATTATATAGTGTACAAAGTGTAATTCTGGGTTGAATAAGATGTTAACCTTTTTTAAAAGATGGAAATTCTACCAAGTCAGTGCATTCAGACACTTTGCCTACTAACCCTAGCATTAACAAATCTAACACATACTTATTTCTTTCCATTTCCCACATATTTTACCTACAGGGTTAGGTTTAACATCCCTCCCATAACCTGAAGCACCTCCTGGATAAAATTAATGACTATAATCTGAGAATGTGCCAAAAAAAACCCCACTGGTTTTACAGGTAGAAAGTGAATCTGAATCAGCCAATTGTAGAATTTTTTTGCACATAAGAGAACTGAAGACTCCTCAGATCTTCATTAAAGGACTTCCCATGAATACCATCATTCACTGAATAGCAACTGACTTGCCTGGGACTGTGGAAAACAACAATTATGAACAATTACGAAAACAAGATTATAAAATGTGAAGAAACAAGTCCAAACAATTTGCATGATAAATTCAACAAAGTGCTGCCATTTGAAAGTATTGTTCCTCTTTGAGCCCCCAGCCGTGAATTGAATTAAATGACACAGGCATTCTAACTGAGTAATTTCTATTCAGTTTAAAAACAGTAGCAATTATGAAACAAGCGAGGCCAAAATAATTGCATTAGAACATTTTGGATTGATCCCCATCATAACTGCAACTTTTTTTAATTGCAATCTGAAATGCATACAGTCTCCAGTCCAGTCATTCTCTCGGCTCACCTCAGCTCACAGGGTTCTTGTTGTGGAGACAATAGGAGGAGGAAGGTGTATTGAATATCTTTGCTATTTTGAATTTCTTGTAGTAATAATAAAGGCAGGGAATGAATGAATGAATGAATGAATGAATGAATGAATGAATGAATGAATGAATATGCAGATAAAGCATTAAATCTATGTTTAAGATTAGAATGAAAGTGTTCCTTAGATCCACTTTCAAAATTATTTTTAAAGGCTTCTAAACCAAAGTCGCAGATCTATAACTTACTGGTATCAGTCCTTCATAGTCTTCCAAAGGGGATAAAGGCATCAATGGAATTTCATCCTAGAAAAGATAGCAATGGTCAGAGATGTTTTTCTTTTGTGCTAACAGTATCCATGTCACAGTTTAGTTTTGATGTACAACATTTCCAACCATAATTGCCCACTTTTTTCCTCCCCCCCCGGCAAAGTTTTACTCCTAGGTATTATATTTAATCTTGGCTGAGTCTTACTAAGCAGATATCACTGGTTTCATCTCAATGGCCTGATCTACATATTGCACTCAGTCATTTAGTTTCATATAATGCATGATACCATAAATCTTGATTTACAACCACAGCACTAACCTACAAAACTCAGACCAAAGAAACCATCAGAAAGATCTGCTTGCTAGAGGGAGAATACTTCTAATGAAAAAAAACGAAGAAGCAGACGCAACAAAAGTGTTGCAACCAACAGCCCTAATGTGAAAGTGTCCTCCAGAGGAAATTCGTTTTCAAAACATGGAATGCTATTTGGAAAGTGACATCACCCTACTTTTGCGGTGTTTCAAAAACAGATTATTTCATCACATCTGATATGAAAGAAATATGGATGCCCACAATTTGAACGTAATTTCTTTTAAATCACCCTCAACTGTTGTTACTGCAGCAAAAATAAGGATAGCAACCAAATGTCAAAATATATTTTAGGAAGAAAAGGTATCAGCAAAAAATTAAATCATTTTATATTTATATTATATGTTGGCAACTATCACTTGATGTATTGCTTTGCCCCAAAATGGGACCATCAGATATTATTAATATCTGACCTATACTGGTTTTAAAATCACAAGATGATAAAGTTAATAGTTATTTAAATGGATATGGAGATTATATTACATTTATTAGCACATATAAATAAGTTTATTATCAATATTTTATAAAACTTTTTGTAATGAAATGGAAAAAATGTATCCAGTTTAATAGAACTGATTCTTGGAGACATGTCTGCAAGGACTTTGGCAGCCTAGATCCCAATTTATAGAAGTATTTCTGTAGCAAGAGCACATCCCCATGTAAACTTTCAAAAACTTAAGAAAAATATAGCAAATTTAGTTTAGGAAGATTTGGAAGCATTTTACAAGACAAGCTTATACTAGAATAGAGTAGAGTAGAGTAGAGTAGAGTAGAGTAGAGAGTAGAGTAGAGTAGAGTAGAGTAGAGTAGAGTAGAGTAGAGTAGAATAACAGAGTTGGAAGGAAACTTGCAGTCTTCTACTCCAACCCCACAAGATCTTAGCAAACAAGTATGGTTTATTGTTGTTTACTTTTTTTGGAATTTGTGCAGTCAAATCACCATTTCAGTATAATTTCGAACAGATTTTATTGAACTTTCTCTCATCCAGAGTTCTTAAATTGTATCGAGATCAGAATTCTTAGAATTGCAGGACAGTGTGGCCATTGAATAGGTAGTTGTTTTGCTACCTATTGGATTCACATATCCAGGTGACTGTAGTGCAGTTTGAGCTTATTACATGAACTTCAGTTGTGAGTCAAGTTCTGCAAGCCTTGATGTATAGTATAGTGCAATCTGGGAACCCAGCAACAGTCTTAAAATAATGTTTTATATATTTTTCTTACTAAGAGAATGTTTTGACCAGGAAATTACATTTTTGAAAAATCACTTTCCCTTTGAAAGGACCAGGTTCTCTGGCCTGCAATTTATTATTTTGGGGGCAGATATACAACTGAGCAGAAAATACAAAGCAAAAGGCAGGCAATGCCATTTCCAAGGTAACAATGGCATTTCTGAACATCAAAATAGCATTCATAAAATTCTCTGAGAAATGACATGAAATGTATTGGATTAAAATATCTATCCACATAAGATGTTATATTATAAATCCTCTTACATCAATTGGAAACTATGGATATAATCTCCAGCATATAGTAAATTACACATCACTCTGTTTGAGCATTTATTTTCACCAGAATGCCACAAGGGCAACTAATTCCACTTTTTCCCCAAGCACAGTCAAAGTTTTCTATGCATACCAGGATCTCTTATGTAGAGACTTCCTTGCAAGCCGACATCCCATAACCCACAATCCACCACTTAGGAAAAATAGGTTCATCCAATCAGAACCACATTCTACAGCTTTACCTTCAAGAAGCCCCAAAGATCTTTGAGACACTATCAGATGACAACAAAAAGATTTGTCCTTCAGCTTTTCCCATCTCTAGTGCTAACTGATCTACAGTGTTCTGGAAAGGCTGATCTTGAGCTTCATTCAGGACATTTGCCAATCCTGATAGAATGCATAAAGTCTGGGAATGCCACTTCCAGGGGCTACATGCAGAATGTATTGTGAACTCAGAATGTGTCCAGATTACCGTAATGCCTCTTTGGCCTCTTGATAGGCTCATCTCCAGTGGCTTATAGAGCAGTTTCAGATTATGCTCAGCAAGTGGTTGCCCACACCCATATTCCTTGTTGTTTGGACATTTGTGTTTTTTCTTTTAAGATGAATAGAAATAGGATGCAACAGAAATTATTTCTGAGAAACAATTGTTCATTTCTTCTATAGAGCACATTTTTAAAGAGAATATACTAATTTGCATTGACATTGCTTTGTTCCAGCATATAATAAGTATTCACACAAAAAAAGTGGAAATGGCAGGTTTTGTTAAGGAGAGAGGGAACCAATCTACTGAGTATGGAGCAAAATCAGCAAACATGAAATTCTGCCCAGCTATTAGTGCGGGAAACAGGAAAAGAATGAGAAAATAGAGTAGAGTAGAATGGAATGGAATAAAATAGAAAATTCTGAAAAAAATATATGACATGAACTATGAATAAGAATACTTCGGACAAGAACATTTTGAAAATGTGACTTTTGTATGATTAATAGCAAACTGCTTCTGTGAAAAATTCCTTGTGTAAGCAAAATTGCATCACTCACACCCAAGAAAGAGATATTATAAGGCTTGAATTTCTCTTGAGGATCACATAATAATAATAATATTTAGGGGGAAATACTCAATTGATGAAAAATACTCTATCGGGAAAAATCCCAAGACAGGCCAGTTGACAAATGAAAAAGCAACAGGAGAAAGCTGTTTAGGGATGAGTGGCTGAGTGTACATCTTGCACTAAGTGATGATTTACTTAACTATCATGAAGTACTATATAAGTCACAATTAACTAACTTCTCACAAGAACCAAGATGTCAAGAAATAAATAAATAAACAATTCCCAGCCTAGCACCAAGTGTAAAAAAAAATCTGGGGAAGTGGGGGATACCATGACAGAAAATGAAATTAGAAGAACTCTCTTCAGCAATTCATTGCTATAGGATTCTCTTCTATATTTCAAAAGAATCACATGCTGGCTTAGGGAACAATAATTGCTATTATTACTGCATTACTCTTCATCAAACTACTGGTATAACTATGTCTTTTGTATGCTAAGAAGTTCAGTTCATTATCGGTTTATCTAGTTGGATAATATTGCTGTGTCCCAATAAGTGCACTGGCTTTAATACATTTTTGATTCATGAAATTTAGGTGGACTATACTTCACTACACTGTATAAGGGGAACACTGCAGCAAACAATAGATGATGCAACCACTGCATTGTGTAAAATCTCAAGATACATATCCTCTAGCAAGCTGGCTGTGAGTAGGTCTCTCTAAATAAATAATTCAATTTAATTATCATCAGCACTGTGACCTGTGGTTAGAGAAACAAGTCTGGTTAACTGCATTTAAACTAATTACTACAATTAAGATAAAAGTTACTATAGCAGTATCGAATTTTTTTAGTATTATGAATTCAGAGGAAATGTTGCTTTCGGAAAGTCTGTCTCCTATGCAATTATCAAGTTTGACAGCCGTGCCAGAAAAGAACGGCTGAACAATGTGTAGAGATGATGTCTCTCATATTTTTGGTGAAATGTGCAGTGGCGTTGGGATCTTCAAAAGATAGAACTGAATTGCTAACAACCTTACTTTGGACATCTAATCCATTTCAACATTTAAATGATCGTTTTTACACTCAGGCACTAGATGTAGAGAATGCTGGGAGACTACACGTGTGGGAAGAGCAAAACCTGATACTTGAAAAAGTCACTGGGGTAGCAACGAAGCATCAAAAAGAGTAAAAATTCTAAGCAAGGTACAACCAGTGTGAGCCAGGTTTATGATTTCCTGTAGCTAAAGTCTATTTTTTGTTTATTTCTCTGCATTGTCATCAGTCTCTTTTGCAAACCACCATGCTGTTTTCATTGACTGATCGGTGATTCGATGCATCAAGTCAGTATTAACACTTAATGCTCACTTTCATAAAACTTGTCCAGATGATCTGTCCCAAACCTGAGTCTTCCACTGATATATACACATCATCACTGGGTGTATAATGTTGATTGTCCTCTTCTTTCCTTCCACATTTCCTCACCTTTTAAACTTTTCAAGAAAGCTAGGTCTTTGCAACATGCACCTAAAATACAATAATTTTAGCCTGGTCATTTTTGTCTTCAGTGAGAATTCTGGGTTGATTAGTGTGATATAAATCACTTATTTGTTTTCTTAGCTATCCATGGTATTTTCAGGAGTCTTCCCAACAGAAAGTTAAAAGGTTTTAATATTCTTTTTGTCCTCTTTCTTCAAAGACCAACTTTCACTTCTACAGAGTGTCACAAGAAAACTATTGCTTGAATTATTCTGATCTTTGTAGACATAGAGACATCACACATCTGAGTATTTTTTTCCAAGGCCTTCATGGTCACTCTACCAAACTATATTAGTGGCTAGTATATTTCTTTCCTTTACTGCTGATAGGTCATCCTAAAAATCAGAAGGTCCACCAGAAGGTCTTCATTATCATTCCTTAGACTTGTTGCTATGTTGCTCTCACTAGTTTGGTCTTATTTGTATTTAATGTTAATCCCATTTCTCGCTATGCTCCTTGGTTTTTGTTATTAGAACTTGCAGATCATTTGCATTTTCAGCTATCAGTATAGTTTTATTAGCATTGGACAGGTTATTCCTGTTTCTTCCTCCAGAATTAAAATCATATTCTTTATCTTCTTCCATCCAGCTTTCCTCTGTATATATTCAGAGTATAAATATAATAAACAAGGAGAGAGTACACAGCTTCATCTCACTCCTTTGCTGACCAAGAGCCAGTCTGTTTCCATCCTGGGTGTGGGTTTTGCATGAGGCAATTCAATGTTCTGTGATTCCCACTTTCCTAAGGACATTCCACAGATGGACATGGTTAACACAATCAAAGACCCTTCTATAATCAATGAAATACAAATAGATTTCTTTAACGATAATATTTGGCTTTCTCAATTATTCAGCAAGTGTATGATTGTTAGCAATTCAATATTTTGCCTACTTTGTCTCTAAAGTACAAAATATAGTAGGTGTTTTAGTTGCCTGGAGTTTTTATTTGGCCATTGTTCATCAGTCTCCATTAATAATTGTATTTTAAAAGGTTACTTTATGAATCATTATCACCTTGAACACTTTTCATCATTTCAGCTTATCATTTGAACCCAATTTCTATTCAAAACTAAATATTTTCTTCTGTCTGTGACTCAAAGGACCAAGATTTGCTAAAATGCGTTAAATTAATTGAGATTCATAACACAGTTCAGAGCTTCTATGCAGGATGGATGAGAAAGTTATGAGAAGGTAGGTCAAAAATGATTAAAATAATATAAAGAGAAACTGAAAATGGAAAATGCATGCTACTTTTTATTATACTGTTCTATAAACCACTGTAATTTGATCAGGTATAATCTGATTTACAATTTACAATCTATCTGTAGGTAAACTGCAAAATAGTTGAGTCAATATTTGCCCTATGCATTTTAGCATATTTACCCTGTGTGTTAGCATATCACAGGAAACTAGCTGTTTGATAATCGATGGAGGAGAGCAGTTTAATGTCCACATTAATCTCTTTTGGGGTCCTCCACAAATTTAAAAAATGAGAAAGAGTCCTCAAAGAAGTTTAAGAAATATTATTCTAGAGAAGAGATAGGCAACCTTGGCTCATTTATGACTCGTGGACTTCAACTCCCAGAATTCCTGAGCCAGCATGGCTGGCTCAGGAATTCTGGGAGTTGAAGTCCACGAGTCATAAAAGAGCCAAGGTTGCCTACCCCTGTTCTAGAGGATAATCTAAACCAGCAAAAAAAAAAAAATCATAAATCCTGGTCACATGACTATATAATGCCTTGACAGGTCATAAAGCTGACTCACCCAATCTGTGGTCACGTGACAGCCAGATGGGCTATCATAATGGGCTCTAAAGCACCTGTTCTGTGGCAATTGTAACTGTAAAACAACTAGCCATTAAGCGAGCACTACAAACATATGCTTAATTCTGTTGCCATCCTTTGAGCCTCTGAATTTTTGCAGTGTAGATATGATAGCCTTAGTGCTGGTGAGAAGAGCACATAACACCTGCCTGATTTATGATCTTATGAGCCCAGCCATTTTGACTTATTCCATAAACTATGTTCAAAAGAAATTATACCTTAGTATGGTGTATAAATGCAACATATAATAATGCTATTTGATTTCCAATGTTTCTAACAGAAAGATGATTCAGACAAAAGGAAATACTACTAAGACTGGGTTTTGTACACTGATTTCTAGTTATATAAACTTTGGGGTTTTTTTATTATTATTTCAGACTGCTCCTACAACTCTGTGTCAAATAAGGATTAGATAGCCCAGAATAGAGAGTCAGCTATAGCCTGTGATGTAAACATCAACTCAGCCAAAAGCGGTATGAAACTCTTGGGAAACTTTAATTGCATGAGTGGATAACCATCTTTAAGTTCCTGCTTATCAACAGTCACCTTCCCTGAAATCAGGATAGTTAGCTAATCAAATAGTGAAACAACTAATAAACTTTTGTAACACTCACCAAACTCTGAGGAAACATGTGCAAGATTGGGCTGCACAGCTATTCAATTCAAATGCAATCTAGCTTCTAAGCTGTAAGCTATGGCATTTGTCTTTATAAACATAATTAATAGTTGATCAGGGAATGATCCATCAATTGGATAGTTTTAAATGATAAACCAATGGTATCTTTCTATAAAACCTTCCGGTTGTAATATGAAACCTAAGTAAAGAATTTTCTAAGTAAATGTAAAATATTGATCATATTTTCAGCCTTTAACTAGAACATGAACTTGGGGGGGGAGAAATTTCCAATAGTTATCTTGTACCAAAGTATCTGTAACAAAAGTTTCGCTCTGCTTATTTTTTCTTCTTTCTCAGAGATTGCCGAGACTCTTGGCAAGATTTCTAAGAAGCGGTTTGCCATTGCCTTCTTCTATCTTAAGGCTGAAAGAAAGTGCCTAGCCGCGTGATGCCTTAACCATTACTCTAAACCGGCTCTCGAAAGGTCTGCTTACAAGTAGGTAGAAAAGAAATTCTTGCAAAATATGTAATGGATTCGACCCGACGCAAAGGAAGACCGAAAAGGCTCAAGCAATGGGTCTGCTCTCAGATGTAACTCCGAACACGGTTCAGTGGGATTTGTTTCCAGAAAAGTGGAATATAGGGCCGTAGCTTAATTCCTGTCTTGCAGGTGCCTACCGGCGCGCAACAATCTTACCTACCTGGAGGTATACCTGAAGAGCCCGACGCGGTTCATTTTACCTGCGGGAGTTCCTTATTTATCTCATTCGCCACTTCCGTCCCCGCCAAACTTTCAACAAAACCTCAAATCGTTTTGTGTTTGGCACCTCACCGCGCCCGGCTTCGAGCCGTACGATCCCTGAGCCCCGATCCATTCGGGATTGAAGGGACAACTCGGCCGGGGTAGCGGGAGTCCCCGAAGTGGCTCAGCCAGTTAGGGCTGCCCTTCCAGCTACCTTTGCGCACACTCGACCTTCCCTTCTGCCTTCTTACCAGCATGGTGGAGGGAGACCGGCGCTCCTCTCGTCCAACGGAGCCCGGAGACGAGCGCTCCTAGCTCGGATCTACGACGCCCTCGCCCGCTAACCGAAATTCAGGAGCTGTGCCGGAGGGAGCCCCTCCGCCACATGCTGCTTTGGGGGTTCCTTTCAGGCTCCCAGGTCTCTCGTTCCAATTCCAGCCTGAGTGCTCGAGGCGGCCTCACTTCCGCGTGTGACTGGCAGCGGTGCGCCTCCCGGCAACAGAACCACCACCTGCCGCTGTTGCCGCAGGCACAGAGAGAGAGAGAGAGACAGAGAGAGAGAGAGACAGAGAACTTCCCGCCCTGCCAGATTTAACCAGGATACGAAAAAGTAGCCGGGCAGGGGCGGGGCGAACCGAGCCCTTTGCGGTCTTGCTCAGGGATGAGCGTGCGTCCCGCGCGAGCCTTTTCTTCCTGACAATGTAAATAAAAGATCGCAGGAGCCTCCCCCCCCCCCGGGTTAACTAGATGAGCAGAAGTTTTTTTTTAAAAAAAATCAGTCTGACTTTGGGGGTGGCATCTGGAGCTACTTGTTTTTTTTAAACTGGATTCACACCACACAGAAGTGTAAAAAGGCTCAGGGCCAGCTTAAGGGAGTTACTGCGGCCGGCCGCGTTGGACCACAGAAAAGTGAAGGTGAAGAAAAGGGTTCTGCTGAACCTGATACCTGCGCAAAAGCGCTGTGCACCAGGCTTGGACTGACGCCCTTCTTATCACGTATCTTTTTTGTCTAAAGGAAGGGACGTTTCTTCTAAAGCACGGTGTTTTTTTCCTCCTCTTTGTTTTGCAGGAATTCATCAGAGAGGTTGTACATTCGTTCTAGAATGTAGAAAGATCGCCAAAGTTGGCATTGCATGGACCCCAACCTTTCTTAGGCTAATCCCGAAGTGACATGTTAAATTCGGGTTCACTGTGTAACATGAACCCTGCTGCTGTGGTTTGTGCACTATAGTGTGATTATGTACCTAATCGTTCAATAATTAAACAATAGCTTAGCTCATTAGCTCCAATCTTTTATTGGAAGTGTATAAGAAGGTTCATGAATACAGTATAAATTGCAGTATAAGGTTATCCTTACCTCCTCATTATCTAATTTATTTACTCCCAGATAAGCAATTTCAGGAAGAAAGGGAACATTTAACAGGACTTTTTTTGTATTTGTTTTTAGGTATTATTTGTGTGTGTGTGTGTGTGTGTGTTTCATTTATAGTTTTAAGACCCATCTTTTTTACAGGAGCTCAGGTTAGCTTCCAGGAGGTTCTCCCCTTATTTCCCAATAATCCTGTGGGATAAATTGAACTGGAAGAGGTTGCTAGAAGCTTAAACATAAATCCAGTGCTCATCTAACATCTTACAATAATCATATTTCATTTTCATTCATTCTATCTTATTAGATACAGAGAAAGAAAAGGGGAAATAAGTGGTGTATAGGATACCTACAGATTAGATTGATTCATAGTACTAAATTATTGTTTTATTGTGGTATAATAAACCTCAATTAATAAACCACCCCACATACTTACTATCTCTACTTACTCCCGTATACAACATGTAGTGCTACATCTACCTAAGCCTCTGTGCTTTGCTTGGTTTCTGCTTAGTGTGATAATTATTGCTAAATAAAAAAAAAATGATTAGTTATTTTGAACTGGGTCCACTATAGCTGCTTGGAAAGCTGGCAGTTCAATGAGTTGTGCAGTTTCATGAAGCATCAGGTAACACTGATGACTTTCATAGAGAGCTTTCAGGGATCTCTCCTAGTACCCTCAAGATTACAATAGATTACAATTCCCATAACAAGAAGAAAGAGAAAAGCAGTCTTGAGTTAAACTCAATTCCTCCTCACTAGAGGGACACATCCATGCAGTTTTCTTGTTAACAATAGTTAAGGAAGTAGTTTGCCTACTATCATCTGGGGAGTAGAAAGTATGCTTTCTACTCCCAAGAATTGGAATTTTCAGTATGTATGAACCAGGCCTGATCTTGTTTAGGCTTTAGAGCCCCAATCATATCTGCAAGCCATTAGAGATGCTGTGCTAATTGTAAAGGCCTGTTGTATTACTTGACTTTTTTATTGTATGTTCTGTATTTAAAAAAAAAAATCCTTCTTCCCAGCAGCTCATGACAAAAATGTGACACAGGCAGCAGAAACTGCTTTAGGTTGAGGTATTGCAGTGATTCTCAATCTTTTCTTCAGCAGGGACCCTCTTTAAATACCTTTTGTGGCCAGGGTACCACAAAAAATACCTTTTGTGGCCATAAATCACCAAAAATTAACTCAACATTTAATTCATAACATTTCTTCAAGCCTCCATGGACCGCCCCTGTGACAAGATTGTGGCCCACCAGGGGTCCATGGACCCCACAGGTTGAGAACCACTGGTATATTGAAAAGGTTAATTTGAAGTAAATTATTTGATCTATATTAGTATTTGCCTTCTTTATAATGCATTTAGGAATGCACTACTACTAATAGTATAATGACTGGTAGTAATAGTAGGATAGAAATGGATTGCAAAATGAAGGTATTTTCTGGGCTAGAAAAACATATACTAGATATGAGTTGGTCTCTGCTTTTCTATATCGGCCATGGTAGGTAGACACCCTTGGGTGAAGAAAACTCCCTTGCCTGAGCATCTGGATCTGTTACTCTTGCCTAAGAAATAAACAATTGCTTCATTGCTTAATGCTTGATTACAATTACCCATCAATCAAACATCAGTCAAATTATGCTAGAAGAATCATACTTCCTAAGCTGTAATTTTCTTAACCGTAATTGAGTTTTAAAATCACAAGGCTGAGTTACACAATAGCCATAAACCCTGATTTACAAGTTACAAAGGCTGTATTAACAAAACATGCCAAACTGGAATCAAACACACTGCATTATTCAGATAAAGTGGTCCAAGTGTATAAAATTCAGCCTACATAACCTGTTGGTAAGGCATGATTTTATTAATCAATATGACATGGAAGGAACTTTACAAATCACCTTGTCCAATTCCCTGTTTAGTGAAGGAATTCACTAAACCTTCCCAGACAGATGGCCAGCTGAACATTTCCAGTGAGAGGTCATCCGTTTTCTCAATAGATAGTTTACAATTTAACAAGTCTTGCAGTCAGATTCTCATAATCAACCTGAATCTCCTTTTAAAAAAAATTAACTCAATTATTAAATCTGAGGCCAAGGGATGCGTAGATAGCCCTCTGGCAGCCCATTTCTGGGTGGCAGCAGCCTGGAAAAGGCTTCCAGCACCCGGATCGGGCTGTGGGGGAGCGTGGAAGTGTCCCACAGCCTCAGATCCGGGCGGAAGCAGAAACAGCAGCAGAGAGGAGACGGATTTTTTTACAGGTGAGGCCGACAGTGGCAGGAAGGGGTTATCTTAGTGGGTTGGGGAAGCCTTGGGGTCCTTTTCCATCACTAAGCCCTCCATGGCCTTCCCCACCCTGAGATACCTCATGTTCACTTAATGAGCCATGTGCCTTAATGAGCAAGGGAGTGATCTCATTCAAGGTGTGAGATTCACTCTACGAGTTTTTGAGTTATGAGTGGAATGGGCAGGCTCCATTACACCCGTAACTCGAGGACTACCTCTATATCAATATTTATTGAATAAAATATTGCAATATATCTTGAATCCATATTCTTTTCAGTCATCTATTTTAAATGATACCCAATCTATAAAGGCAGCAATATAAACAGCTCAAGGGAGGAGGGTAGGAGAAGAGGAAGGGGGAGGGGGAGGAGGAAGAAGATGATGACGATGATGATGATGATTATTATTATTATTCCAGACTCAATATGTCCTGAAAGAGGAACTTTTGCATAATGGTACTATAGGGCTCTTTAGTTTAATTATTGAGATATATCTACACACACACACACACACACACACACACACGTATATATATATATATAAATGAACAGAGTGCGGAAAAGTGATGGGGAATGCATTTTCTTCAAGTTTTATTGGGATTCAGCATTCCCCATTTAAACCTATCTATAAAATTACTGAAAAGTAGACATATACATTTCTGTGCAACTTTCAGTCTAAAAATTCAGATATTCAATGAATTTAATTATCTCAAATACAAATAATGATTTCTCATAGAATTATGATATACCTCTTATATGCTCTCTAGTTGGGGTGGGCTAAAGAAGATACAGTAAAGCTGGAGTACAAGTTGATTGCATGAGCCAATAATTTCTTGCTAATTTTTTTAATTCAGATATCGTTTTAAAAAAATGATTAGATACTTTCATGGATGAGAGCCTACTTACATAAATCAAATAAGTTCTTCAAAAACAATAGAAAATTGTATGACTAACAGATGATGATCTATTGCTTGTTCCTATTATTATTGCCTATGCAAATGTTCAAATTCAGAATATGTAGGCAAACAAGCACCAATCTGTTGTAGAAGCAGCTTCTTATAATTATAAAGGTTGTTGGAAAGTTTGTTAAGAAGATTCCTTCAGCCTGGATTCACATGTTATTCTTAAATCAGAATGGCTAGTTGGTTTTGTCTTATTGTGAATGGTGGAGCCAGCTTTGTTGCTTATTCAACAACCTAGGCCAGTGATGGAAAACCTTTCAGAGACCAAGTGCCCAAACTGCAACCCAAAACCCACTTATGCATCATCGGGTGCCAGGTGGGTGTGGCCCATTGGGTGGGTGTGGCCCATTGGCTGGGCGTGGCTGCGGTGGTAACGGCAGATTGGATGGGACTAAAAAGTTCAATCAATCAATCAATTCCAACTTTGCAAGATCTTTTTTTTCCTGCGAGAAGTTGAAATTGACTGATTGATTGAACCTTTTTTTTTTGTACACGGCGGCAGAGGCCTAAAACGAAAAGGTTTTATAAAATCCAGATGAAGGCCTAGGACTGGGGTGACGGCAGGCATGCCCACAGAGAGGGCTCTGAGTGCCGCCTCTGGCACCCGTGCCATAGGTTTGCCACCACTGACCTAGGCCTTAAACAAACATGGCTTAGGATATGTAAACTCAGACAATGAATCATAGGTATGCTCTGGATGATAGCTAGAAATGCAGGGGGATAGCTAGAATAAAGAAATACCCATAATAATTCTACAGTTGTCCAGAAGCTGAGACTAAGATTTGTAGGTTAATAATGTGGATATTTTTTGGACTGAATTATCTTATAGCACCACCTACAGTGCTTTTGGCCAAGATACAAGCTACAAGAGAATAGCCATCTTCCTTCTAATTCAGCATCTTTGAAAGATACTTCCTTTTGTTTTCTTTTCTGTGCTATTTTTCTTTGATTTTTTTAATTTGTA